GGAGGCGACCCGGACCGACCGCGGAGGTCCGACCTGCCGGGTGAGCGGCGAGAGGGGGATCGGCGAGCCTCGCGGGGAGGTGACCGGCGGTCTCCGCGGCCTGAGAGATGCCGGCGGAGATCGGCCTCGTGCCGGAGAGCGTCGGGGGAGGGACAGGAGGAGTCGTGCCGGTCGTCGTGTCGGTCGTCCAAGCGGCGGGCGTCGGGCCGACGCTTGGGGCGCGGGGTCGCGTTGTGCCAGTCCCGGGTCGTGTCGGCGGGGGGCGACGGCGGGGAGGGAAGGGGGACGGCGTCGGCGGCGGGAGGGGAGGAGACGCATGTTAGGGTTAGAGCAGAGACGGGAGGGGGCGAGATGGGGTGCCGGGGGAAGCCAGCCGGCTCCCAAATAGGCCGAATGGCCGGGCAAGCTGGCCCAGCCCATGAATGCGCCAAAGTGGGCTGGCTCGTAGGCGCAGCCGCACCGGGTGGTGGCCCAGCGCCAAGCCCAGGCACCTCGCGGCCCAGCCAATGCGGCGGGGTGGCAGCACCTAGCGTTTCCCCCGAAGCTACGGCCACCTCCACGGCCGGCGCCGGCGTCAGCGTAGGGGCAACGGTGAGCCAAGGACGGTGGAGGGACTGGCTGGGGGAGAACCGAAGCGACGAGAAGCCAAACGCCACGATGAACGGGCGGAAGGGGGATCGATGGCCGACCACCGACGAGGCCGCCGACGGCGAGGGAGCGGCGGGCCGGACGGCGACCGCGGCGGGGCGCCAAGAGCGCTGGGCACGACCCAGGTCGGACCGCCCCACGACGCCCCACGCCGGAGCCCGGCGGCGACGAGCGGTCCTGGACCCAAGGGAGTCCCTTTTTCGCGGGGTCGGCAGAAGGGGAAGAGGGAGGAGTCGGCAAGCCGAAGGGGAAGAAGGACAGCCGTGCCGCGGCGAGGCCACCATCCCCGACCGAGGCGCCGCTCTGCGAGCCGTCGGGTCTCGCCGGACTATGTGGCGGCCGGCGACGCCGTCATCATCCTCGGCCAAATCGGCCCAGCGCAGCGGCGCCCCAACCACGGCGGGGGCGGTGGCGGCCTGGGGGAGCGGAGGTCGCGGGGACCCGACAAGAGGAGCAGGGGCGGCGGAGGGCAGCGTAGCTGCGCCGGCGGCCAGGGAGAGGCCGGTCAGAGGCGCGAGCGCCAGCGCCGAGGCGGCGGGCGGCGCGGCGCCAACGGAGTCGCAGGAGCGCGCGTCCATCCGGCTACTTTTTTCCTATAGCATCAGCACAGCTGGGTATTTCCGCCAATTCAAAGATGGGCTTTCACCGTCACGCCAGTTTGCACACATGAGCTTATTACATCAGGGTTAGACATCCACGTGATTTTCCTAGAAAGAACTATAATTGCTAGGACGATATGCAACACATTAGCACTTAGTGCTCGTACACAATACTATTGACAAAATCCCTTGTGTGATGGAGATAGTAAACTAATTTACTCTCTCCGTCCGGGTTTATTAGGCCTCTCGGCATCACAAGCGCGTTCCTTTTTATATGACCTGGCTTTAGAAAGGTACATGCATGCAACAATTTCATTGATTGCATTGAAGGCCATTGTTGTTGGTGCTATGGCTGATAAATTAATACACTTCATGTGTGGTTTTTTATTGGCTACATGCATGTGAGAGGGTGCATCAGGAGTGGGGTGGAAGAATTAATGTGAGCAAATTACTATGTGTCTTGTCTAAGAAAAGTTGTGTATAGGCTAATAAACCCGGACGGAGGGAGTACATTAGATGTCAAAAAAAAAACTTACAATAAAAAGTTACAGTTCCAAAATAGTACAAAATAACTTTCTTTTAGGGCTGAGAGCACTAAGTGCCGATGGGTGAGAACTCCCTCTGTGCCAACAGCAACCTATGAAACGGCCCAGCCCATACGCATCTGTGTTGCATCCGCGAGCGAGAGGAAGGATGACCTGACCTACCGACCTCTCATCTCTCCTCTCCGCCGCCGTCACTACTCACCACACCACACCACCACTCCTCTCGCTCCTCGCCTTGCTCCAGTCCAGAGCGCCCATGGCGGAGGCCGCAAGTGCAGCAGGAGCGATGCCGCTCCTCCCTGGCCTCCCCGACGACATCTCCATCTGGGAGATCCTCGTTCGCCTTCCCCCCAAATCCATCCTCCGCAGCCGTGCCGTCTCCCCCGCCTGGCGCCGCGCCACCTCCGACTGCGACTTCCTCCTCGCCCACCACGCCCGCCAGCCCACCCTCCCCCTCCTGTACGGCGACACTGACGACCTATCGTCCATGGAAATCATCACCCGCGACCACCGGCACCGGGCAGCCGACAAGCTCCAGTCAGTCGCCCGACTTGACGACGACGCCTCCTGCTTCATTCCCGTGGCCTGTTGTGATGGCCTCCTCGTCTTACGCACCTATAATAAGAGGGGTGAGAGGCGCCTCTCCATCTGCAACCCGGCCACTCGTCAGTATGCTCCCCTCCACCAGCTTCGTGGCTTCAAGCTCTTGGGGATGTACCCACACGACCCTACCGGCGACTACCGACTATTGCTCTGCTTGGAAGCTGATGCTCAAAGTGGCTCCTATATCTTCACATTGGGCTCTGGTCAGCCACCGAGGCGCATAAGGGGCCCTAATGCGAAGGAACTGATGAATTCCCATGGATCTGTTCTTTTCCATGGCAGCTTGCATTGGCACACCGACAACCTGATAATGGTATTTGACACCACCACCGAGTCGTTCCAGCAGATGCGCACTCCGATTGTTTCTGGTCATGTCATTGCTGGCCTGTTTGAGATGGGTGACATGCTTGGCATGTTCAGCCTTAATGACGAAGAGACCATTGTTGATATCTGGGTGATGCAGGACTATCAAGGGCAAGTCTGGGCCTCCAAAGGCCGGGTTGAATTTCCCATTGAAGAGCTCATGGCGCAATCTGAAGATCTTGGTAGTTGCTGGCTAGTGGAGGCCACATATTGGGATGGTGATCTGCTGGTGCTGGCCAAATTTGACGACGGCTCGCTACTTCTGGTTGACATTGATGGCAAGTTGGTTGACAGTCTCGGTCACAGACTCCTCTATCCTACCCCACTTCGGCTGAAACAATCTCTAGTTCCACATACCTTCTTTCCGGCACTAGAGGGTTATGTTGTCAATGCTTCGCCTTTCATCTGACTTCAGCTCAATGACTCGCTATATTTCTTTGAATATCATTTTGGGCTGAAGTGGCTGAGGTGAGTGATGATGCTAAAATTACAAGTCATTTGGATCAGCGTTTGAAATGTTGGCCCATTACTCTAGATCATGACTATGTTTTGTTGAACTCAGTTATGGGCTTCTTTTTTCCCCATTATATAGTGTTCTGCTTAGTACTTAATTACTTGGTTGTTTTGGTTAGCGTTTGAAATAGTTGTCAATTGATCTGCCTCATATATCTGTTTTTCTCTGAAATGAAGAATTGCCTTAGTTTTTCTTATCAAGGTCTTATTTATTGAAGATCATATTGTGGTTTCCTGTTTCCTGCGCTCTCGATTTGTTCATGTTTGCCTTTTCCCCCTTTATATAGCGGTCTGCTTAGTACTTAATTGTTATTAATCTAGCTGCCTCTTGGTCCCTGTTTATTGAACGGAATAATTAATCTGTCCTTTGTTTTGAGGTCTTCTTTTTTAGAGTTTACCCAGTTGTCCATTTAATACTAAATATTTAGAAAATGTTCAGTTGATTCTTATTTCTTTGTTTTATTTTAGCAGACGGTGATATAAGGCAGATTATCCTCCTTGTTGGCTAGCTAGTTGCACATGATTCCTGAAGAGCTTGGAACACTAGTAAAATTGAACGATTGCATTATAGTCAACTTTCAAGTCAATGTTCTGTTGCAGTTCATTCATGTTCATGATTACATTAACATCTGGTCAGGTATTGAAACATGGTGTTATAATTCTGCCTCTATGTTGCATCATTTGAAATTATATTTATTATTTCACTTTAGCTGCTAACCATTTAAAGAAATCACAGCTTCATATGATGTTCAATCTTAACATATGCTCGAGAAATGAAACTTGTAATGACGTGCAGAGCCATGTACTTTTTTTCTGCGCAATGCGTATGAAATGGGTCCACTATGAGATGGCTATTTTCCTTTTCATGTCTACAAGTTATAATCAAGAAGCTCTGACTGGTTCATGATTTGACTTGTGTGAATATCCTTTTGAGCTAAAATGGCTAGCATAAAAAAAAGGGCAGCCCGGTGCATGTAGCTCCCGCTTGCGCAGGGTCCGGGGAGCTAAAATGGCTAGCATGCTGATGCTTAAATTATGAAGTACTTCCTCTGTAAACAAATATAAGTCGATTTAGATCACTAAAGGAGTAGTTTTGGACAAATTCAAAATAGTTGCAAATTGATCTGCCCCATGTCTGTTTTTCTCTGAACTGAAGAATTGCCTTGGCTTTTTTATCAAGGTCTTCTATGTTAAAAATCAGCAAGCGGTTTTCTTTTGTACTAAATCAGCACACTTAATATGGAACGGAGGGAGTACTAAATAGGTAGCCAATGTCCTGTTTCGAAGTATTGTTGTAGCTGACAATTACATGTGGCGGATCATCCTCTCAATTTGTTTAATTGCTAGTTTGACCCGATTGTTAGAGGAGTTCGGAGCACTGCTTGTTAGATTGAATGGAATGATTGTATCATCAACTTGTGAGTGCAATCGTCATTCATTATTCTTCATGTGTCCATTGCATCTGGTTAGGTATTGAATTGTCCTGTTATAGTTCCTTATCTCTCTGTTATCGATGCAAGGCCGTGTCCAGTACCATTTTTCGAAAGTAAGATTGCTCAATTTGTCACATCATGTATGTCGTACCATTCCTGCAGGGTGATTCTTCAGTTGCTGACATCACTTGTAGGTCCACTATGAGCCTGCTAGTTTTTTCTTGTTGCATAAAAGTTATGGTCAAGAGGCTCTGACTGTCAATGGTTGCATGAAATTCATATATCTGTGAATATCCTTTTCGGCAGAGGGGCCTACCGTGCATGTTGATGCTAAAATTACTAAGTCGTTCTGGTCAGCGTTTGAAATATTTATTAAGCTGACCTACCCCTTGTTTCTTAGAGACTATCTGGTGGTCTTCTTAATTCTACAAATTTAGCAAATATACTTGTTTCTATTTTTTGTCTTAGCTGATGATGAAATGAGGCAGATTTTCCACTTTTTTTATTAAGCAAGTTGCACCTGGTTTTTAGAAGAGCTTGGAGCACTACTTGTCAAATTGAATGATAAGATTGTAGTAAACTTTTGAATGCAATGTTCTGTCGATATTCATTGTTGTTCTTGATACCATAGCATCTGATTAGGCATGCAAATATGTGCTTTTAAATCATATTTTTCGATTGCATCATCTCGAATTATATTTAGCATTTCACTTCATCATTTGGAATCATACTCCCTCCGTAAAGAAATATAAGAGCGTTTAGATCACTAAAGTAGTGATCTAAAAGCTCTTATATTTGTTTACAGAGGGAGTATTTAACATTTCACTTCTTAGCTGCTAATCATTGTAAGAAATAATGTTTCATGAGATGTTGATTCTGACATATGATCGAGAAATAAAACTTGTAGTGATAAGCAAAAGAAAGGTTTGTCATGGTCCTGTACTAATTGTCAGGCATGTTTATATGAAGTTTCCTCATCAAGTTTTCTCTTGCAAGAAAGCACCAGGGATTGTGTTGCAAAAAAGTTGTAGGAAGAGTAATTAAGTTGAAAAGCTGCTCCGATCGTTTGCTACTGCATGTAGTATATTCCTTCAGTAAAGCATGTTATGCAACAGTAGTAGTAGGGAGTACTATCAAAGCTCTGTTTGAGAGTACGGTTAGAACTTAATAGCCCAGCCCTACCCAGGGCATTCGTATTATTTCTCGATTGACCTCCGCGGTCGCCACGGCAAGCTGTTCGTGAGTAACCAACCAAACTAGTGTAGCATGGTTAGGAACTGTATTTTTTGTCCCTGAAATCGCTTCGTGGCCAGACTCTTCAGTGTTCCTTGATACGAAGACGATTAACATTGGCATTTTGAACTGTGTTCTTTCTTTGGCACCTACATGGGTTATTTTCTAGTAGGATTGCTTAGTTTTCTGGCACTTTTATTTTGCTGACTTTCATTGGAATCTTGTTAGTAAGAAGCATGGTTCTGCTAGACTAGTAGTAGTGTAGGAAAAATAAAGAATTCAAACCATGAAACAGGGTTAGCTGATGCTTGTCTGATCTGGAATCGCCTATTGCTTTTGATACTGCAGCACAGCAATATTGTTGGCTGATGGTGTGCAACCGTTTTCGATACTGCATTAGCAGTTCCCTCTGCTGGGAGGGTGTGTACTGTAGACGGTGAATATAATGTTTCTTTCTAGTAATTGAACGGGCAAGGAGCATGTGGCTTCACGGGCTCTAAAAAGCAAATCCAACAAGCCAGTGTGCATGCTAGTGCTAATACTTAATACTTTTTACTGATCGATGTTGTCAGGAGCTGATTATGAGAGTATGCAAAACTGTCATGAGAGGACATGAAATGCATGTTGATGCAGTGGTAAAGGAAGCACTAGTAATAGTAGGTGGCTCCAGAAGTTCAGTTTGTATTGCATTTCAACATCTACTTCTCAATGATAACCAACAGGATGATCTTATGATCTTGATCACAACAGCATGCCAGTTGAAGCAAGCATCAAGAGGAGGAGAAAACCCCAAAAATGCATCGCCATACAGGAAGAATCTCCATCCAATAGCTGTAGTAAGCTGCAGACGATGAAGTAATTGTGGTAGCCACTGTTTAGGATGGGAGACAGCGCAAGAGATGCGTGATGAAAATGCAGCTCAACTCTGCGACAGCTGCCTGTATGTGTGACAGTCATTGTTTGTGTCCTGTCGCCGTGGCAACTTCCTAGCAAGGATATTGTCATGCTAGTGTATACTCATTCCCGGTACCTCGCAATCCTAAGTTTGCATACCCTTTTCTTTTTTAAGCAAGTAGCTATACCCATTGAAATGAGATTAGTGGTGGAATCATGGAGAAACGTGTGTCTGTGTTCCGAGCATACATGTAGTTAGTCTGCGATGCTCTGCTGGCCATAAAGTCAGGGAAGGTAAAGAAGTCTGGCATGGCGCAGTGTGCTTGCTTGGTTGGTCATTATAAAATGAATCATGCGAGAAACTTGGCAATGGTCATAGAACTTAACCAAATCTAAGGCCCTCTTTGATTCGCAGGATTTTCAAAACGTAGGAATAGAAAAAGTATAGGGTTGGAGTGGCATGCACACATGAATCCTACAGGATTAGCATGGAGTGTTTGATGGCCCAGGAAAAGCAAAGGAATTGTAAAAAGAGGTTGGAGTAGATGTTAGATTTCCTATGAAATATAGTACAAAAGATTCCATAGGAAAAATTCCTATGGGATCCAATCCTATGAATCAAAGGACCAACATAGAAAAAATTCTTAAGGGTTTCAATCCTTCAGAAATCCTATAGAATTCCTTTGAATCAAAGGAGCCCTAAACCATAACCAATCAGTATGGAGTACGAACCAGAACTAAACTACACCTTCAATCATCGTGCTGAACCAAAACCAAACCAAACTGTATGCTCTGTCCACCTCAACCAAAACCAAACTGTTGTATGTACAAAGCTAACCGGAGAAACAAGCACACTAGCTAGCAGCTTAATTAATCTACAGTAGCAGCCCAATACGTTTGTCCAACGACGTCGCGTAGCGTACATACGAGTACGTGAACTTTGCCTACTTGCGCTGAGCCAAAACTGAATTGATTTCTATTCAAGAACCGGTTCTGAACCACAGCTCGTAATTGTCAGCGACCAAACCATTTAGACCCGCACCCAGCCATACCCAACTCATTCCTAGTCAAACCCAAACCAAACTAATCTGATAACAGTCTGATCAACTATAGCAAACA